GTTTCCTGGGGCTCAGGTGAGAGGAAGATTGGACTGCAGTTGAACCCAAGGGGCCTTCCTGTGGGGAGAGGGCAGTGTCTTAAAACAGTGGCAGTGCTGTTTTCACAAGTGTTTAAATTTACTAAAAATCCCCAAACTTAAAACAGATGGGTTATGCAGTGTGCAGATTATACCCCCATAAAGTCATATGGGGACTTGATGTAAAAAGTTTTTGCAATTGTTATGTAATTGCTCCCCTGGGCACACCTGCCCCACGCCCCCCTCACATAAATGCTGGTGTTTTCCAGGGTTCCATCTGGGCCTTCACTGCGTTTACTCCCTCCTTCCTACGCCCGGGGACCTTTCCATCAACAGCGCAGATGATGCCTGGCTCCTGCCTCTCCATCCCCACTTTGCTCTCCTGGGCCCCTTCTGTTACCTTTCCATCTGTGTCCTCAGCGTCCCACGTTCTAAATTCTGCATCCCCAAACTGAACCTATCACTTGGGCCCCTAAACTTGTTCCTCTTCTTTTTTGTCCTGCCCCAGTGAGAAGTACCACCCTCCACCCCATGGCTGGGCCAGAAACCAGCATCTGGTTTACTGGTCATATCAGTAAGATGACACTCTCCATCAGTGGAGTTTCCTCGTTACCGCTGGCTACCTGCCCCACCCTTCATCCGGACCCTGGCAGTGGCCTCCTCCCTGGTCCTTACCTCCGCTCCCCTCCATGCCCCACAATTCTTCCAGCACGGAGCTGTTTTCAGTGCCCTGCCCTGGCCTGCAGCACCCTTTGCCCCAGTTAAGTTGGTAAACTCAAACTGCGCAGGTGGTAGGCACTTTCCCCAGCGCCACCCCTCTCTGTGCATCGTCCTTCTTGTGGTAATGGCACATTCATCTCTGCCCAGGTCACCAGCCGTAGGGCTCTACTCACATAGAGGCTTTAGTCAGGGTTTGTCATGGGACCAAGTGAACACATGTTCTGAGAGGTGCTGGTTCAATTGCACCACGGGGTGGAATCATTGCATGAGGTGCAGGGGCTTGTGCTAGCCACTGGTGTGTTGTTTTATTTTAAAAAGAAAATTAAGGGGCCCCTGAGTGGCTCAGTTGGTTGGGCATCTGCCTTCAGTTCAGGTCATGATTCCAGAGTCACAGGATCAGGCCCTGCATCGAGCTCCCTGCAGCAGGGGGTCTGCTTCTCCCCTTCCCCACTCATGCTCTCTCCCTCTCACTCACTCTCTCTCTCTCTCAAATAAATAAATAAAATCTTAAAAAAAGAAAATTAGGGCCATTTTTTTTTCTGATTTTGAAAATGTCAGGGAACAAGAATTCCTGTGCCCCTCAAGGGTCCTTTCAGCTGGACTAAGAACCACATTGACATGAGACCAGCTAACAGGAGAAAATTCAGTTTAATAGCGTACACACGGGAAATCCACACGAACATGGAAATTATAGAGCTAGTCAGGCAAAGCGAGGCATATGTGTCATTCTGAACTAAGGAGAAGGGGGTAGGGGTCGGGGAGTTGAGAGGAAAGGAATGCATATCACAGGGCAATAAGAACAGATGTTTGGGGATGCCCAGGTGGCTCAGTTGGTTAAGCATCTGCCAGGCTCCTGGGATCGAGTCCCTCATAGGGCTCCTTGCTCAGCGGGGAGCCTGCTTCTCCCTCTCCCTCTGCTGCTCCCCCTGCTTGTGCTCTTGCGCGCGCTCTCTCTCTCTCACAAATAAATAAAATCTTTAAGAAGTAAAAAAAAGAAAAAGAACAGATGTTTGCCCTGCCATACCAATGGGTGACTCAGATAAAATTTATTTCTGCTCGTAACCCTTATTTTGGATCCCTCCATCTAGATTCTTCTATGTAGTTAAGGCACCCCTCCATCTAGATTCTTCTATGTAGTTAAGGCAAGGTTGAAAGTTCCTCTTCAGCTCAGAATAATCTCCATGTCACAGTGGCCCATCTTGGGGCAGCCTGCCCTTGGCCCCCTACAAAAATAACCCCTGCTCTTATAGAGAATGCGGGTAATGTGGAAAATCGTGGTCACCTTCCCTGTGTCGCCCTTCCACAGATCTGTACTGCACCCTGGAGGTGGACTCCTTTGGTTATTTTGTGAATAAAGCCAAGACACGTGTTTATAGAGACACAGCGGAGCCCAACTGGAACGAGGTGAGGTACTTCTGGGCACGTCTTGCATGCTGGCCCTGGCAGGCAGGCCAGGATCTTGTCCTGGGGGAGAGTCTGAAACACCCCCCCCCCCCCCCCCCACCCCCTAGGGCTCCCTGATGGCTTACCCCCTCCGCGCCCACCCCCCCAGCCCCCACACCCCTCCCCCGCACAGGCGCTGCCACCAGCATTCCACCAGCATGCCGGGAATCTCCTGGGAGGAGAGGGGGGACTAGTCCAAGAGATTTTATCTCTGTTCTTGAGAATCCACCACCCCCCCAATCACAAAGAAACAGCCTATTTTGCTGGAGAAGCTTTTGGAAAAAGGAACTTAAAAGGGCTTTTTGTGCTGCCTTTGTTATTGCTTAATGTTTACTTGGTAAGTTTCCATAGTGTTTTTCCTCAGAAGTTGGAATGAGCCCTGTGATCCTCTTGGTTTCTGGAAGCCTGGGCTTTGCCAGCCGGGGCCAGCATAGGGACCTGATTTCCCTGTCCCCAGGTGTTGGGTTTGTATAGTTTGCTGCTCTGTTCTCCTTCCCCTCGGAGAGCTGTTGTGTTAACTCGCTTACCATCTTGCCTTGAGCCTTTGGGAGTACGGGAATGGTTACAGAGTGGCCAGTATTGATGAAGTCCCCAGATCTGTGAGAATGCCATTTCCCAGTCTCTGGAGCAGCTGTGGCCCTCAAAGGCCTCATGCTTGAAGATATGGGTGGGGGCATACCTCCCAGCCCCCTGCATATGCAGCAGCTAAGTCCCACCTGGCTGCCTGGTCCACCTCGAGTCGTGTGGCTCGTGAGCACCCAGCTCGCCTTTCTTGGTGTGCCCTACTCTGATCATCAGACTCGATGCATTAGTAGGACTGGGGCACGGGGAGCCCATAGGATTGCCCGGGCATGATAGCCCTTGGCATCCCTGCAGAAAGGGTGGGGGCTGCCACGGCAAGGGAGCAGCACAGCCAGACGGAGCCACCAAAGGCTTTGCAGGGAGCAAGAGGGCCGTGACTGACAGGGGCAGTGAGGGAGGGGTCCTGGACACAGCACAAAGAGTTCCGGTGAGAGCCGGCTGTGGAGGCTCAAGGAACCAAGGCATGGAGGGTTCCAGACCAGCAGGTCCCCTGGTGGCCGGCCTGCGTGTGCATCTGGATCGTCCAGGGGTGTTGCATGTTCCTGGCATATGCGCCCTCCCCACCCCGATGCGGGCTCAGAAATCTCTCCTTTTTTCTTTTCTGTCACCCTCTTCCCATTTCCCCACCACAAACCTGTGCCTGCAACAGCACTGGTGTGAAATGCAGAATTTACTGAAGATATCCTGGGGTAATGGAGGAGAAAGTTAACACCACACATCCCACAGCAGACTCCTCAAAAGCCTACAGGAACAGTTCTTTCCTCTCTCCTGTTATCACCTCCCTGGGTCGATTTTTTTTTCCCCCTTTCAAATAGACTGACTTTTTAGAGCAGCTTTAGGTCCAGAGCAGAAAGGACAGAGATTTCCCACATACCCGCTGTCCCCAAACATGCACAGCCTCCCCCACTAATCAGTGATCCTACACTGACACATCATTATCACCCAAAGTCCATAGAATATCTGCTCTTGTAACCAGCACCTCTGAGCTTCTGATGTAGGTGGTGTGGGGACTGTCCTTTGACATTCTGGCTTAGGGAGTTTGGATCAGATGTTAGAGGCATTCAGAGCTTCCAGAAGCATCCAGACTGGGCCACATTGGGGTGCTCACAGGGAAGTAACTTCTGAGGGTCTTCGTCGCAGGACTAAAGCGGAGAGGGTCTCGAGGCATGGGTCCTCGTGGGGCAGCAGGGAAGCCACTGGACCTGTCTGCTAATGAGACTTTCCTTCTTTCTTGGGACTTCAGGAATTTGAGATCGAGCTGGAAGGCTCCCAGACCTTGAGGATACTGTGCTATGAAAAGTGTTACAACAAAACGAAGATCACCAAGGAGGATGGCGAGAGCACAGACAGGATCATGGGGAAGGGCCAGGTCCAGGTGAGGCCACCACCCTCCTCTGCCCCCTGCAGAGCCCCTCTGCGCCCCCTCATATACCTGCCCCTGGACCTGCCCACACCCTCCTCCGGATGTTCCCAGTTCTTTCCCCAGTTGACCTTCTGGGACATGGAGATGGCCTGGCTCCAGGGGTTGGGGGCAGGTGCCCCTGGACTTGCAAAGGGACCCTTACAGGTCTTTTCCTGCCCCTCTCTGTGTTTGAGTGTCTATTATATCCCATCTTGTCCCCAAAGGAAGTTCAGTTCGGCTTGTTCTCACAGCAGGGGCCTCAGTTCCTCCATGGCCTTGTGCTTCCTGTGGCTCACCTATGCAGTTCTGTGCCCCATTGGGGGGAAGCCCTGATATCCATGTTCCTTACGGGCCTCTTACCAGACCCAGCCGAGCAGGTTCCTCCCTGCCCCGCCCTAGGGGTGGGCACTGACTGCTCCCACTCCTCTCCGACCCTTGGACCCTCGGGTAAAGCCCCCAGCAGAAGTGGGCTGGGCATTCCAGGTGTCCGTGGGAGAAGGGGGCTCTCCATGAAGCCCCGCCTCCCTTCTCTGAGGGCAGGAAGTAAAATCCTTTTGTGCTGAAATACTGAGCAGCAGGGATGAAGGAGAGGGAGGGTGACTCACCCCTGAGTAATTTCGTCTTCTTGGGGTGGGGGGGCGGCACGTGCTCATCCTTCAGAGGAGCAAGTCCTCACTTAGCAGGGGCTCCAGACCCCCTCTCTGTTTCACCAGGTTCTCAGGTTCTGGTTCCCCAGGTTTTCACAGCTGCCTAATTTCCCACCCTGGAAGCTTATTAGGGAATTCAGTGGCTCAGGGCCTCCAGGGACACCCCCCCCCCCCCCCCTCCCTTGAGACCAGGTCTAAAAGCAAAAATGCTCCTCTGACTGCCTTGTACCTGCCCTCCCCGACCTGCCTTCCAGCGGACACCACTCCATACCCCGCACCTTCCCAGGAGAACAGGCCCAGGGCCTCAGCCGCCCCCACAGACAGGACCTGGGGCTGGACTCTACTGAAGTCAGGGGTAGAACCGGCCTGGGGCAACACTCCAGTGGGTCCACTAAAGTTTGGGATGCACACTGGGGATCAGTGGGGCAGCCTTACCTGGCATAGGGAAAGCAGGATTCTTGGCCCCTCTCTCAGATGGTGTAACTGGGGTGCAGGGGGTTCCCAAACAGACCAGGTTCAGCTACTCAGCGCTGATAAAATCCAAAGGCAGAGAGACGAGAGATGGTGAGACAAGAAAGGGATTTACTTCAGCGAGGCCACCACCGGGAAAACAGCAGGCTAGCATCTCAAAGACGGTCTCCAAACTGCTAAAAGTACTTGCAGGTTTATAGAAGGAAAGTGTGGGACAAAGGTCGGTGGGGGCCTGCAGGTGGGCAGTGAAGGTCAGGTGGAGCATTGTCTTGGGGTCAGTCACATGGGGTCTTGCCGAATTCAGGGCAGTCCTTACTGCTTGAGGGGATAGCTTCGGTTCTCATCACGGGTTGCTTTGCCCGCAGGGTCTTTTGCCTGAGTTAACAGATAAGCTGGAAAGAAGAACGTAGTCAATGAGGAAGTGTGGACTGAGGTTGAGATGAAGGTGGTTGAAATCCTCTGTCAACGGGCATGGTCTTTGAGGGCCAGCTGCTGCTGATCCAGGGCCACCCGGTGGATGTCCTGGACCTGGGTCCTACCTGTGGCTTAGATGCTGAGGGAGAAGGGGATGGTTCCTCCTTGCTCCCCATCAGCCTCGTACACCATTGAGCCAGTTGTAGGGGTCTTGGTAGCAAAGGGCTTCTGGATAGAAGAAACAGAAATGCAAGCCAGTGCTTTTCAGCTGTTCCATTTTTGGGGTCCTATCCAGGGATCTTTGACAAGCCAGGTCCCTTCCCCAACCATGAGCTGGGCATGGGTCCCACCTTGACAGATGCATGTGCCCACTGCAAAGTTGGGGTGGTGTCTGGGGGGTGGCTCGCATGCTAAGTGCGGACACTCACCATTCTGCCGCTCACGTGCCTTGACTCCCCAGTGTCCTTGAGATCCAACCCCATATGTCCACGTAGATCCCGTTCACCTTCTTGGCTTGATAGGGAAGCCCATGGATTGAGTCAACCACATCAAGGGGCTCTTCTGCTCTTAATGGACACTAAGGGGTTTCCCAGCTTTCGCTGCTCTGTGAGCAGCTGGTGCTAGACATCTTTGAGGACTGACATGTTTTGGCGCCTAGTGGGCAACAGTCACAGCTCGGGCCCTTTGAGTTTTCAGGCTCTGCTCTGCTGCTCGACAACTAATGTGTTCCCCTTGCTCCCCCTCCCCTCTCCACGTTTGCATCTGTCCCCAGCCCCGTCATCCCTCCTGCACACCCATGCCCTGACCCCCGTCTTGCAGAGAGCCCCACGGCAAGCTAAGGATGCACATGGACTGGGTGTCCGGCTCCTTTTTTCAGTCCATCACACAAGACTAAGGGAGGCTCAGGGCGCCTGGGTGGCTCAGTTGGTTGGGCGACTGCCTTCGGCTCAGGTCATGGTCCTGGAGTCCCGGGATCGAGTCCCGCCTCGGGCTCCCTGCTCAGCGGGGAGTCTGCTTCTCCCTCTGACCCTCGTCCCTCTCATGCTCTCTCTCTTATCTCATTCTCTCTCTCTCTCAAATAAATAAATAAAATCTTAAAAAGGGAGGCTCAGATTCCACCGACCTTTGACTCGACTCGTCCAAATCCTCCAATGCGAGAGTCCCGGGGGGTGGTAAGATTTGAACCAGGGCCTCTGAGCACTGTCACTGGGTAACCGGGTGGCTCAGTGGAAGAGAGAAAAGAAAGAGGATGCTCATCCCCTTCTTTCATTCCGTCAGGCCCTCTCTGGAAACCCTTTGCCATGACACTACTGGATATGAAAAAAATATTCCTTTATGAGCATAGCCTGTGCTCTTAGACACACCGGGGGTGCCACGTGAGCACCCTGCCCCGTCCCGGGGAGGAGGAGAGCAGCGGGGTCGTGGGGGCTGGCTTGGGGCATCTCCGAGCTTCAGCTGTTCTCTACCCCTTTCTGCCCTCTGACCCCAGTCTGCATTTCCCCATGCCGGCACTCTGAGGGGTGCTCCTCAGCAAACACTCTCCCTTCCTGTTCCTTCCAGTAGCACAAGATAGGACAGGAGCGGAGGATGTGGGCTCCATTAAAAAAAAAGAAAGAAAGAAAGAAAGCAATTGTACATGACCTTGTTAGAACGTCAAGGTTGACTATATTCAGCAGGATACAGGTATAGGGACCACTGCAGTGGGGTTTTGCAGCAGGGGAGAGAGATGGAGCCCAACTCTGAATACGACAAGGAGAGAGGGAATTTATAGCCAAGGAGCGGGGTGTGGGGGATCATCGGTTGGAAGTTACTAAAGGGAAACAGCAGGGGTAAGGGGGGATTCTGGCTAAACCAACCTAATGGGTTCCTTGCTGAAAGCAGGCTGGGGCAATCGGACATCACCCAGGGGTGGTGGGGAGCAAGGAGTCTGGTCACTTATCAAAGGTAATCAGCTATCAAAGATATCAGGGTGGTTCTTGCTAAAATTGGGCGCTTGGGGACATTCCCAAGAACGAGGTTTGGTTAGAAAACAACTCGGAGGAGCCTGACTGGTGTGGCCCAAGGGAGACCCTCTGTCCACTCCCTCAGCCCCAGTGCACCTCCTGTGAGCTGGGGCAAGTCGTCACTGCCCGGATAAATGTATTTCCTCACGTGTAAACTGGGGCCAGGGGCCATGGAGCCGGGCGCGGGGGTCTTCAGTGGCCACTGCTGCTATATTACTCAGTGTCGTTACTGTTGGTGGAGAAGGCGGACTCTGGTTCCACCCCGTCGTCCGGGTCTGCTTCCATGGAAGAGCTAAGTGAGTGGGAAGCCTGGCCGCTGAGCCATCATTAGCCAGGAAGGAATCCCAGCATGACACAAGGTCCGTTTGTGACTCACACAGAGTAGGCAGTGGCTGGCCCTGCCCCTGGAGACCCCCATTCCCGGTGGGGCCTGTTTATGAGCTGGCATCCCCAGGAGCAAGAAGGCAGGAAGTCAGGGGAGTAGCGGTGATGGCCCCCTATGGCCCCAGCCAGGCCTCCTTCCGCCTCCCCCCACCCCCCACCCCCAACACTGGGGCACACCTAAGGGAGGGCGTCCAAGACTCTGAGTGAGGGCTTTTCCCACCAATATCAGGCCCCTTCCAAGTATGCCATGTGGGAGGGACATAGAGCCCTGCCTGTCCTGTTGCTGGGGTCGGGGGGGGGGCTGGGAATAGCATGGCCTTCCTCCCTCCCCCAAGTGCTTCCCACCCCCACACCCAATATGTACATTGACTCAAGCTGAGTGTAAAGCCCTTCCTGTGAGGTGGGGAAGGTGCAGCACCCCAGGAGTGTCTACGGGGGGCCAGGGAGAAGTCTACAGCTGACCAGGAGGGCAGAGGCCGGGCAGGCCCCTCCGAGGGGCCAGGGATGGAAATCAAGTCTCCAGCAAAGCTGCTCACACACCTGCCTGGGCAGAAGGCATCAGAGTCATCTGGGGAGCTAGGTCCCAATTTCCTGGGGCTAGATCAGTCAGTTTTCACTCCTCGGCATGGTACTGATGAGCTAAGGGTTCAGAAACCACCAGTCTGAGTCTCAGGTTACAGCCTTTGCTCCTCAGGTGACTGGCCAGATCCCCACTTCCCCTCCTCGACGATGGAATCTCCGTGAGAGGAGGATGGAGGGCTCCCCCTCCCAAACCCAGGATGGGTGAGTTGGTTTGTTCAGAGCATCAGGCCATACTAGACAGAAAGGCAGAAGGACATAGTGTATATATGTCCCCAAGCGCCCAATTTTAGCAAGAACCACCCCCTGATATCTTTGATAGCTGATTACCTTTGGTAAGTGACCAGACTCCTTGCTCCCCACCACCCCTGGGTGATGTCCGATTGCCCCAGCCTGCTTTCAGCAAGGAACCCATTAGGTTGGTTTAGCCAGAATCCCCCCTTACCCCTGCTGTTTCCCTTTAGTAACTTCCAACCGATGATCCCCCACACCCCGCTCCTTGGCTATAAATTCCCTCTCTCCTTGTCGTATTCAGAGTTGGGCTCCATCTCTCCCCCCTGCTGCAAAACCCCACTGCAGTGGTCCCTATACCTGGGACACGGCCCTGGGGGTGCCGGCTGTCCAAGAAAGAGTCATAGACTCGCAAACCTGAGCCCTTACGTGCAGACAGGTGCACAGGGCCCCACTGGGAGTCTTCTCTGAGCCAGCTCTTGAGTCTGAGCAAGCAAAGCCATCCCTGTCCATCACCAGACACCAAGAGCCCACGGTGCCACCCTAGTGATCAAGGGCCTCCTACATGCCAGGCACCAGGGACCCCGAGAACAAGAAGATATCTGCCCCTGTGTTTCACAGAGCAGAGAGTCTCAGGAAGGAAGGAATGCTGCAGATGTGCCGAGAGCCAGAGCAGGCCATGACCTGGAGTGGCTGTGTGGCTGGGATGGCACAGTTATTTTGGGGGAGTCAGGGGACAGAGAAGTCTTGACAGAGTTGGGGTCACTGGGTCTGGGGCTTCAGGGGAAGGATTTTCCCAGGTGGAGATGTCAAACATCCTATGCTCTGAGCAGAGCAGGACCAAGGAGTGATGGGAATGCACCTGTTGTGGCAGAGCTGGAAGCTGGCCAGAGTAGCCTGACCGCGTGCCGCGGGAGTACGACGGGGGCCTGCAGGCACTGCCCGGGGGCTCCAGCACATCCTAGGCCAGGGGCTGGGACCAGCATCCAGCAATAATCACCAGATTCATCAAAGCCCAGGGAAATTGGAGCCTTGCAGTTATTAGGAAGTCCTTCCTTCCATCTTGCCCTGCTCTCTTCTCTGTTTGCAAATTTTCTATGTTGCTAAACCCCCTCCACCCTGTTTCATCTCAGCGATTAACTTAATATCAAATCCTAGAATTTTGTCTTCTCCCATTTCTCCTGATACTTTGCGAGTCTAGCTGGGCTTACAGCTCATTCCAATGGGATCATCAGAGTTGTTTGTTTTTTCTTTCTAACATTTTTTTGTGTGTGTGAGTCTTGGATGAGGTTGGGGCCTCAGGTTCCTAGTTTGACCCTTGCTTTATTCGAAGCTGGTGCTTGGGGTGGCCGTATGTGGTTTCCCAAACTCTGCCAGCCTGGGTTGCTTGCCTCATGCGTGGAAACCTGGTTGGATACAGACCCGACAGGTCCACCCAACTTCTAGGGGTGCCCTGACACCCACGCTCCAGCCCTCACCAAGACCCCACTGTGATGTCTACCCACTCGCGGGCAGTCCCCTCATTCGCCCACCCAGGTGCCCCACAGCAGCTGTATGAATGTGGAGATGCCACCAGCACTTGTACACGCATGACAACCCGAAACCGGAAGGAAGCCAAAGTGTCCATCAGCTGGTGGGTCCTTAAACCAAGTGTGGTATATCCATACAGAGAAATATTATGCAGCCATAACAGAGGAAGGACATTCAGACACACGCTACATGGATGGACTGTGAGGACATTGTACTAAGTGAAATAAGCCAGACACAAAAGGATGAGTAATCTATGATTCCACTTACAGGAGGTACCTAGGACTGGGGAATTCCTAGGGACTGAGAGTAGAGCAGAGGTTCCCAGGGGCTGGGAGGAGGGTGGGGTTGGGGAGTTACTGCTTCATGGGGACAGTGTTTGGGATGATGAAGAAGTTTTGGAGGTAGATGGTGGTGGTGATTGCACAACATTGGGGATGTACTTAATGCTACTGAATTGTGCACTTAAAAATGGTTAATTTTATATTATATATATATTTTACCACCAATTTTTAAAGAGTTAGCATGTCCACAGGGTGCAGGGATGGACATGGGAGCCCAGACTCAGGGACTTGCCCCCTTCATGAAATCCCCCACCACCAGAGGGACAGTCAGTCCCTACACCATGCGGCGTGGTGGGGAAGCTGCCTTCTGGAGCCTCAGCACCCTCACCTGGAAGAGGGCAGATGTCTGGCTCTCGGCAATCCCCAGTGACTAAATGCTCAGTCTGTGCCAGTAGGCATTGCAATGCGTCTGTATTAA